TGATTGTAGCATCACCGGACCCAGCATTCTTGATTGTCGACCATTCATTATTCATTGCAGGATGCGTTGCAGAGCAACCGTCATGATGCAGCCTGTAGCGAAAGAGAGCGCGCCGAGCTGTATTGCTGATAACGCACCGCGTGGCTTTGTTGCTGTCGATGTTTGTGCTGCAGAAGATGTCCAGCCTGTGGCGATCGCCTGCCTGCACTTGCTTGACTCAAAGTGCGGCGCTTGAAAAGCGTCGTGTTCGCGCTTTTGGCGGGCGAGACGTTCCTTCTCGTTTGGGTCAGTGCAAGCTTCAAAAGTCTTCAAGCCCGGGAGCCCGTCCAGGCTGAGGGTATTGGTCGTGATCCAATATGAGCCGAGCGAATTGGAGACAATATCGCTGTGCTCATCTGCTGCTGGCATGGATACACGCTTCTCTGTCCATTCAGCGAGCGTCCGCCGCGCACGGCTTATGGGAGAGAAGACGGGGATAGAATAGCCGCAGGATGTCGAACAGGTGTGCAGCTCAATGTCGATCAGCGCTCGGACGCCTTGCGGGAGGCGGTCTTCGGGTGGCGCCAGTTCGTGAAAAGCTGATGATGGATCCATACGCTCGTGCACCGTGCCTGTCAGTGAGAAAAGAAATCGGAGCGGAAGGTTGAATGCGACTCTGCGGTCGCGCCATGTCACCATGCAGCTCACCTTTGCCAAAGACGCGCACGATGCGCGGCGGGCCCTCCGTGAGGTTGACCCACATGATGGTGATTCGCCCATTACCATCCTGCCTCAGATGGCTGATCGTCTCATTGCCGCTGCCAGTCAGGTCGAGGTAGCAGACACGATGCTCATCGACAATCTGGATCAGCGGTATGCCATCTTGCTCACGAGACTTTGGACTGGTGTTCACACTGCCGCCCGCCAGTGGCGCTGTTGCGACGAAGAAGATCGGCTGCGCAGCCAACCAGGGGATCAACGAGGAGGGAATGGCGTCGTAGAATTTGCCCATCCTTGTAATAAAAGGCGGTAGTCAGTCTCTTTACTGTTCGATTTCGTTGTAGCGGGAGCCAGCGGAGTCCGTGACGAGAGGTTGCGTGCTTTCGCCAGGTTAGGCAAAGGAAGCTAGATCAATGTTGTATATAGCAGAAGCCAATGCATACACCCTATAGTGTCCTGACGGACGTGGATGTGGTGAGTCAAGAGTGCATCGACAACCGCGGTCCGCGAATGCCGGGAAGTGTTGAGTCACGTCCGAGAAAACCCGCGCAAAGCTTTGACAATATCGACCCCAGGTGACCTTTCCTTCTCACAGCTTGCAGCCTGCTGCTTGCAGTGTAGCTGCAGCACGTCAGGCTTCGAGATCGAAACACGCGACTATTTGATTAGGGGCGAACACAAGCCAACGTTCAACGTAACGATTCGCGCGCGCATGCGACGCGAATCCATGCTCAGCCGCTGCGAGAATGAGCCAAACCGTATTATCTTTCGGCTCGAGCAGCCTACAAGCTGCTGACCTTGACACGCTTGAAGACCGTGAATGGTTGAACGACAATATTATTGCGTTCTTTTTCGAATTGATGGAAGCGCAACTGGGGGAAAAGAGGAAAGACGAGGCGGCATTGTGGCCACCAAGTATTGTGGAGCTGCTTTGCTCACTATCGGACGGTGAGCCTGTATCAGGCGCTTCCCACCAGCATACCATATCTCTCCTGACCTTATACGGCCTTCATTCTCTTCGTGGCGGCACTATGCGTAAACAACAGGCGAAGAACGCGATCACGAGGGACTCTTCCCGCCTTTGAGGTCATGTGCGTTCCTACCGATCAATGACCGCTACTCGTCATCAACACACGACAGCATTGGCACGCACTGGTCCCTTTTGGTTGTCACTGATGGTCATGCTCCAGATATCGCAAAGGCGAGGCACTACGATTCACTTTATGGGCACAACGACCGTGCGGCACGGCGAGTATGGTACAAGTATCACCGTCTTATTGGTGGTAGCACCGACAAAGGCAATTGCGCCCTCGATCGATTTGAAGAGGCAAAAGAGCTTGCTTCACAAGTCAATGGTTCGTCGGCCGTGGAAGCGAAATGGACCTGTTTTGCGCTCATAACTTCCCCTTTGTGGCCACGTCACCGGTATGTGCACGTGCATAGCAAACGATTGCGGTCTGTATCCCCTTGTCTTCGCCGACCTCCTGTTGCTCTCATGTAGTCCTCAGCCGCAGGGTGCAAAGACGATCGCAGCGAAAGTGCTGCCAAAAGACGTGGAGGCTTACAGGAAGCGATTCAGAGATTGGACACACAAGTGGCTCGAATATTGCATAAAGAAGCAAGAGAGTTGGAAGAGCTGGTCGGACGTCAAGGCGCATGTTGGCGATGTACCGCGATTGAATCTATAGTCTTCAGTTGATGTAACATATACCTTCACTGGGCGATGGTTGTCGGTTGACCTGCCACTAACTGCCTATACATTGAGTTATCCCTGAAATACACCGATTCTATGGGCCTTCTTTTGTTGCGACAAGCGGCGCTCGCCGCAGAGTAATTCCCAAATGTGGCCAGCCACTCGACAAAGGCCGGGATCCTGATGGGTGTGTCGATTGTAGAGCTCATGCCGTGGCAGGGTTGAATGCATGGTCAGGTGTTCCTTTCCGTCCTTCACAACAACAACAACAACAACAAAGCTTGCTAGGTAACATGCCGGAGCCGGCAGGAGTATGTGCAATCCGAGACATTGGCCCCGTGAGCGTCGGTAGTCGTGCGGAGCGCTCGGGCAAAGAGGAGCGTCGCAGGTTGTGCTCCTGCTGCCTCCAAGTGCGTGGTATTCAACGCATGCAAGACCACGTCAGTCAGATGAGGCCAGCCGCCTTCCTGCCACAGCACCGTGCAGCGCGTACCCGCCATGCAGACTCGCAAGCCCTCTTTCACTTGTTTGACAGCTGCTTCAGCTGTGTTTGGGGACAGCTTGCGAGGAGAGAAAGGTACGAGCGCCCAGCCAGCCAGCGAGGACCTTGCTCTTGCGCTCCACAACGTTATCGGAAATCAATGCCAAAGGCGGACCCCAAGGTTGTGGGGCCGTGGAAGCAACGGAGGAGGTCGACAGGCCACCCTCTCGACCTTGCCATTGCACGCTGGCCTGCCTCTCGGCCGATAGCCTGTGTCGGGTGGCTAGCGGCGCATTGACCACCCTCAGGCGCAGGCGCAGCACCCACCAATCACCGTCAGCAGATGAGGGCTGCAGGCGTCGTCACTCGACTGCGGTCGATGAGCAACTGCGAGAATATACAGCGGTCGTCGTCCTGGACAGATCCTTGTCACAAACACTCACCCCCGCGATCCTCGCTCCTCCCAGGATCGTGCCTGGGTCGGAGCGTGAATGTCGTAGAGTCGTCCGCGCCTCATCAGCCGTCATGTCCGGCGCATACAGCCTTTCGTGCGAGCTGCACGGCCATGAAGCAGATGTGAGTCTAAACGGGGTGGCCGTGCATATGCGCCTGGCCGTCCGCTGACGTCGCGAGCTGTCCCACGTGGGGTTCTCTGTGCAGATTCGTGCAGTCTCTACTCTAGGCCTGGAAAATGGCACAGATCTTTTGCTCAGCGCATCAAGAGACAAGACTGCTCGTCTCTGGTCGCGCCCAGCTGGTGCGAAGCAATTTGACACCTCCGGAGTGCTGAGTGGACACGATGGGTTCGTCAATGCATGCGCCTTCTTCCACTCCGGGGCTGCTGCCCCAGGGATCTCACGTAGCGTCGCCGGCGCAGATGCAGAGATTTTCGCGCTGACCGCCGGACAAGACAAGATGATCAATGCATACAGTGTAACCACATGGCCAAAGCTTGCCGTTAGCGACACTCCCGACTACACGCTGCTTGGGCATGAAGAGAATATATGCTCTCTCGATGCTGGACCTGGTGGCTCATACATCGTCAGCGGCAGCTGGGACAAGTGAGTTACGCTGTCAGGCTGCCATCTTAGCCGCTCGCGTAGCCTGACGCCTCGCTTGCTAAAACACAGAACGGCCAAAGTGTGGAAAGACTGGAAGTGCGTGGCCACATTAAAGGGGCATGCGCACGCAGTGTGGGCAGTATTAGCTGTGGATGAAGACCGCATATTAACCGGTATGTACATGGTATTCGCCTCGAATGTGTCCTTCGGCTGACATGCAAGTTCCGTTATGTGGTAATAGCATCAGCCGACAAACTCATTCGCCTATGGTCTATATCGAGTCCAAGCAAGCCAATCGCAACGTTTTCTGGGCATTTGGATGCTGTACGAGGGTTAAGCCTTCTACAAGGTGGTAAAGCTTTTGCCAGCTGTGGAAATGACTCGTGAGTCGTTCGAAGCGGGCTGTTTTGCACATCCCGTGAGCTCACTATCATCTTCACCGATAGGAACGTTTGCATCTACTCATTAGTGGATTTGTCTTCTCCCTCGGCTAATCAGCCAATCTACACACTCTCTGGACACACATCTTTTGCCTACTCCCTCGCAGCGATCGAGTCTGGGCAAGGTGAGGTGGCAAGTTCTGGCGAAGATCGCAGCGTGCGGATATGGAAAGGTGATGGCAGCGCCGGATCTATGCAGCAAAGTATCACACTCCCTGCTGTCTCTGTCTGGAGCGTTGCTGCAATTCCTGGCGGAGATCTCGCTACTGGCAGTAATGATGGCGTCCTCAGAGTGTTTACAAGAGACGAAGCACGCAAGGCTGGTGCAGAAGAGATCAAGGTGAGTACAGCTTCGCCAGCTTTGATGAAATAGCCCCAAGATAACCCCTTTCCCGCTTCTTGCAGATTTTTGATGCTGCAGTCGCGTCACAAGAGCTGAATAAAGCGCAGATTGGCGATGTGAACTTAGAGCAGCTCAGGGGTCTCGAGGCACTCTGCCAGCCTGGAACAAAGGAGGGGGAGGTCAAGATGGTGCGCAACGGAGACAAGGGCGAGGCATATCAATGGACAATGGGATCCTGGCAAAAGATTGGCGATGTCATTGGAGGCGTCGCAAAAGGGAAAAAGCAGCTCTACCAAGGCAA